TGCTAGAGGGCTGGAGTAATACATGTGGGCTCAGTAAATGTTCTCGTAACTGTTTACCACATAAATGAACAAGCAAACAAGCTTGACAGTCATACTTTCTAACACTGTCAGACTTGCTGAAATGAGTTGGGTAGTCTCCTAAGATGGCAGGGTTATTTATTTGTTTTAATAACATTAAGTGAAAAGTGCACAGAACACAAGTTCTGGTAAGTTAAAGCAAGTTCTAAAATCACTTCATGATTGTCGCAATAGAATATCCTTTTGGCAGTGGAAACAGTGGAGGTGACACAGAGACTATTTTATAGGGGGTGCAAATGGTCATGTTTGTGTGTGTGTGTGTGTTTACGATTGCTCAGAGTTACGATTGCTCAGATTGCTCAGCTGTTCCTTTCCAGCTCCTGGTACTCTCAGTCACCACCAGGAAGACATAACATATTGAGAAAGTACTGCAAGAGGTGCTTTTGGGGATTGTCTTCTCTATTTCTAGGTTCTCCTTTAGGAGAAAGGGCATTACCTTTGATGTGATTTGAAGAATCTGTTAGTTGGGATCTGCAGTTTATCACTAGATTATGTGAAAAGCAGACTGTACACAGAGCATTCAATAAGGGAACACAGAAGAAGATGTGAGGTTCACAACTGACTGACTTGTGTCATGACAGTTTTGATCACACCTGAGAATTGTACTTGAGATACCCAAATCCTCATTTCTGAGATAGCGAGGGACTCCTAGATGAAGGTTAAATTGCTTCTTTTCCTAACACCAATCTCCTACTCTAGGCCTCTGCCAGGCTGAAGAGAGTAAAGAGTTCCAGTGGGCTTGACCCTGGTCCACTTCTCTCTTGGGTTGGCCCTTGGACTGATGGGAGAAACCCCTGTTTGCCATTCACTCCTGCTGTTGTAGTTTCCAGGTCTTATATGCACCAATAATAGATTTCAGCCTGGGATATGACTGAAAATACTTCCCCAAGTTCTGTTCTATCCCTCTGTTTATTAAATGGCAGAGAGATTTTTAGGGACCAATTCTAGATTGTGAACACAGATTTTATTTATGGAATCTTCAACTCCTTCCCCCTAGTACCAGACATTCAAACAATTTTTTTTCTAATTGATTTATCTCTCTCCTGATAAACCAGCCGGCTCACCAATGAGTGGCTATACGCCATTCTATGTAGACACTTTCAGATGGAAAAGTTTTGATTTTGGTTATTCTAGAACGATTGGATAGTAATGATGGGAAAGGGCCTCCTAGCCTTTGCCTTCCCAGCTAGCACACCCTGTGAGTATGCCCTGAGAAAACTAGCCTACAAGCTAATTCTGAAGGATGAGCCATCCGAGAGAGTGACATCCAGAACTGTGTTAGCACACACTGCTCGATGCCCATACTGCTCTGACATGTGACCATGAGGGATCAGGGCCCCAGAGCATTGAAGGGATTGTGTGAGAACAATATGTACATCACAGCTACTGTGGCTGCCAGATGAAGGGAGAGCCTCGGTGCTTTAGAATAAATCTCCACAAGAGCAGAAACATTGTCTTTTTCCTTTTTATCTACAGCAACTTGAAAGCTGTGTCCCACCCATGGATGACACCCAACCAAAACTGCTGTTGCTAATAAAAGAGTAAAAGAGGGGCACCTGGGTGGCTCAGTTGGTTAAGTGTATAACTTCGGCTCGGGTCATGATCTCACAGCTTGTGAGTTCAAGCCTTGAGTTGGGCTCTGTGCTGACAGCTCAGAGCCTGGAGCCTGCTTTGGATTCTGTGTCTTCCTCTCCCTCTGCTCCCTGCACTCATGCTGTCTCTCTCTGTCTTGTCTTTCAAATATAAAGTAAAGCATAAAAAAAACAAGGCTGCAGTGACAGAGATTCTTATTTAAGATGGAATCACAATGGAGGCTGAAAAGCCACAGACAGCAGCTGCTGGACTTGTGCTCAGAGTATAGGCAGTTTTTGCCTCCACCACCCCCTCTTTTTAATGCCACTTCTCCCAGCCTCACACATAAAGTTAAATTATAAAAGGAAAGAATACTGTGGACTACAGAGTTAAGAGAATTAATGTGTCGCTCTTTGGTGTTTCTCCAGAGCTTTGTAATTCACATTTCATAATATTGCTCTCTGCATTCTTGTTTTTTGTCTCATTTTCTAGATTATAAGATCCCTGTAGACAAGAAGTATCTCTTGAGAGCTTTCTATCCTTAGCAACTAGGGCAGTATCTGATGGTAGAATGCTGCAACAATTCGGTTGACTCTTCTGGACAGGCAAGGAGAGCCTGATGACATATAATAAGGACGCTCAGAAATATTAAGCCAAAGTTAGTGGGGATCCAAGCTTTACCTTTCCTTTAACATTGCACCTTTTCTCTCTTCTTTCAACATCAGTAATGTTTGCTAAGTCTGCCAAAGGCTAGCAGCCTTGGTTTCTAGCTTTATTACTTGTGTCTTTTGATGTAAAATCCCCTGAGATTTTCATTTTATTGGTTGTACACTGGAAAACTTTTTTGTTAAAGATTTTTAAATTTTTTAAAATGTTTATTTTTGAGAGAGAGAGGGTGGGGGAGGCACAGAGAGAGAGGGGGACAGAGGATCCGAAGCAGGCTCTGCACTGACAGCAGACAGCCCAATGCAAGGCTCAAACTCACTAATTATGAGATCTTGACCTGAGCCAAAGTCGGACGCTTAACCGACTGAACCATCCAGGTGCCCCCCCCCTCCCCACTGGAAAACTTCCTGTTTAATAAAGAGTGCCCAAGATACAATGAATGAGATGGTCACTGGTCAGAGGCCAGTCTGATAGAAAATTGCTCAGCCATAAAAAAGAATGAGACTTTGCCATTTGCCACAACATGAATGGCTAAAGAGGGTATAATGTTAAGTGAAATAAGCCAATCAAAGAAAGACAAACACCATATGATTTCACTCATTTGTGGAATTTGAGAAACAAAACAAAGAAAAAAAGACAAACCAAAAAAAACCAGACTCTTAACTATACAGAACTGATGGTTTCCAGAGATAAGGTGGGTGGAGGGGTGGGTGGATAGATGAAGGGGATTGAGAATACACTTATGATGAGTACTGAGTAATGTATAGAATTGTTGAGTCAGCATACTATACACTTGAAACTAATATAAGACTGTATGTTAACTATGCTGGAGTTAAAAGGAATAAAAGGTCCTTTCTCATTAGCACAGGCAATACTGAATTGAATATAATCATTGAAAATAAATAGGACACAAACTACCTACAAAGGGGATTCTGAAAACACCTACTATGCAGTCCGTTTTGGCAAACTGAGATCCTGTCTCTTAGATGAAATACTTTCAAATAAAATGTAATTCATTAGAAATGTTTTGGAAAGGCTAGTATTATCAATGTCAAATGCTGATCAAAGCCTACATAGGCTAAGCTACCTTATTATTTTATGTGTAGGTTTAAATTTTTCTAAATTTATGTTTCCAAATCAAATTAATAATTAAAATCAAACTCATTTTAATTTATTTTCCTTATGCTGTGAATGTTATGCATATATGAATCCATGGTCCCTGAATCTTGGAGCAACTCCTTCACAAGAGTGACTTTTTCCCATGACTTCATACATTACACAGATAAGTAACATTCTTCAGTTTTTGCATTCAGTCACTTTGGATTTCATACGATGCTACAAAACCTAGAGAGCACTGAGAAGTGAAAAACAGAGAAGTATGGAGAGTATATGTTAAAGAAAAGGAAGGACAAGAAGGAGAGAGAGAAAGAGAGGATAAGACGGTGGTAGATAGATGGATGGATGGGGAGGGAGGAAGGGAATGAGAATGAGAGAGAAGTTGAGGGTCTTTTGAAGGGGAGAGGGAAAAATAATTCAGTGAGCACATCAACTGATCCCCCAGTAGGTAAGCTGGCCTCTCTTTGTGTCTGGATTCAGCACTTTATGATCTTACACAGAGCTTTCTCACGGGCCATCAGCAATCTTGCTCATCCTGATATCCAACTCTGGCAGCAGCTGGGCACCCATTGTCTAACTCAATGAGGCCAAGTGGTGGCTGCCAGTCCCACAGACTGCTCTGTCCTCCAGCCCCACACAGCCTTCTCTGGGGAGGCTCTGTGGCCTTGGCTTCCTGGTCCCCGTGGCGTTAGCTATCGGCTTTGGTAGTCACGAGGGCTTTAATAATTTCAGGCATTATCACTGAAAATGTACTGCAACCTGACTTCTAAGTTTGGTATTTCAATTTCCATACCTTATGAATTCCCAGTGATTTTGTTAGCTCAGTGGCAAACTTAGATTTTTCATTTGCACAATAATTTCTTCCATATTATTCATTAGGTAATTATAAAAACAACATTTCCTCTTCTATGGCATGAAAAGGAAATTAAACCAGTCTTCCCGCACTATCAAAATATTAATTTTCCCCTTAACTGAATCTGTTCCTCAGCAGTAACACCTCCCATTAATCGAGTATTTCCTATGTGCCAGGAACTGAGTCTGCAGCTTTGCATGGATTTTTTTTAAAGCCCTCATAACTACTCTTCCCCATGATTGGCATTCTACAGATGAAGAAAAGGGGGTGCAAGGTGGTCGGTCCAAGCACTTGCGGAGGTTTACAAAGTTATAGTAAGTGGTAGAACCAAGTTAATAAACTACATAGGAGCTCCAGGGTTTACCCTGTCACAGCTGTTTCACTATTCTCCCTCTGCAAGTCGTCCAATTATAAAGATTGCCTAAATCCAGCCAATGTTTTCTTTGAGTACTTACTCCCAGCTGAAATTGGTGAAATGTTTGACAAATCTTATTTTTTTCATGAAGGGATATATTTGCAATACAATTCACCTTCTGATGAACAATTTTATTTTTAATGTTTATCTGTTTTTGAGAGACAGAGAGCACAAGCAGGGGAGGGGCAGAGAGAGGCAGAGAGAGAGAGAGAGAGAGAGATTGAGAGAGAATCTGAAGCAGACTCCAGGCTCCGAGCTGTCAGCATGGAGCCCAACGCAGGGCTCTAACTCACGAACTGCGAGGTCATGACCTGAGTTGAAGTTGGACACTTAACCAACTGAGCCACCCAGGCGCTCCTCTGATGAATAATTTTATCTAAAATGTTTTTCCTATTGTGTTATTGTAATATCCACTGAAGAGAGGGGAAGGCCTCTTCAATATTTAGTTGGTAGCTATGGAGTTAAAATGAGGTGTAGGTTGTTGAAAAGAAAGGCTGCTTAAGTTTTTCCATTCCTACGTTTTTAGGACTAGGAAGGAAGTCCTCTGCAATAACATTTTGTATATCTGGGTAAAATGAAGTGTATGTTTGTCACAATTATTAAAATAATACTAGCAAGAATTTTAACTCTCTATTAATAGAAAACGTTTGCTTTCTATTGTTCAGTGCCTATATTCTTCAGATTCACAAGCTAACTGCTCAGCTCTTCAATTTGTTTTGGCAGATAAGGGATACCAATGCTGGTAACATTTTGCTGGGGTTGTGGGGGTAGGTGGGGGAAAAAGAGAAGAAACATACACTTTGATGGAGAAACTATTGTTTCTTTTTGGCCGATACTGTGGGATCATGGAGAAATCATGTATGAACTATAAAATTTCCACTTTTAAAACATGGGTACAGAAGCTCTTCCCTTTCTTTTGTTTTCAAAATGAGATTGATAATACTGTATTACTTTACAGGCCAGAAGGCAGGAGAGGTGAAGGAAATGACTGCAAAAGTTCCCAAGGTTTTCAACAGCTACAAGGAAGACACAAAAGGATGGGAATCTTCTAAAGGGAAAATTTCCCGAGTCCCAAGGAACAGGGGAGAACTGTAGGAGAACTTCAAGAACCACAAGACTTGGGTTTTTGCATCTTGTCAGAAAATCCGCACTGCTGGTAAAAACCAAGGGAAGGCCTGGCACAAACGTGACTCAGCAGAGAAATGCCACCCACAGTCACCGACGCGGCTTCCGCAGTGGCTGAGTTGCCCTGTTTTCTCTGGAGGCTTCCCCAGCCTGGCCAATACATGAATCTCTCAGATGGGAAACTGAAGTTTTTGAAAATGGAAATTAAACAAAGTTGTATAACATTTAAAAGAAGTTTACAGTTATGATACTTGGCTTTTTACATGGGTTTAAAGTCAATTTTCTGTTGAATAAATAATATGAACCACACATTAACCACCTAATAGTTTTAAAATGCCCCAAACAGCCATCACCATCATTCTGAATAGAATCCCACTTCTTTTTAAAGACCATGGTTAAAAGATGAGGGGAAACAGTACCATTAAAAGAGGAAGCAAAACATAGTTCAAAGTCTGTTTCCATGAGGTAATGCATACTGTTGACTAATGGCCAGAGGAATCCAATCTATATCGAGATGAAATATGAAGTTAAAGCAGGTGGCTGGGAGAAGTTAGAATCCCTCCACCGGCAACCTCCGCCTCCACCTTCTTGAATTATTTTCTTGCTGAAGCCAAAGGGACAGAAAGCAATGAAAGTTTTGTTGATTGGACACAGGAACTTGTCAGAGTGAGATGGAAGTTATATATCTGAGTTCATCTCTGGAAACTGCCAATCTCACATTAACTACATCTGTATGTGTACATATCTGTGTGTATGTGTGTGTGTGTGTGTGTGCGCGCAGGCACGTGCACAGCATGAAGCTAATTTTGAAAGGATCTTCAGAATTATTTCTGGGTAGATATGTTTCTGCATAGCTATTTTTATCTTTTTTCTCCATAAGGAAGTATTTCAGTTTTGTAATTTAGACCCCAGAAAAGTCAGGTTGTTTTATTGCGGTATGTCTGCAAACTGAATCCTGGCTTCTAAAGGAAAAGAAATTTCTTCCCCTCATCATAATATAACACACAATTTCTATCATATAGTTTATTATGTTTTGTCTAATATGAATAAAATCTCTCATGTTTGCAGGAACTCAGTTGTGGAGAGCACTAAAATGTTTCCCTCCTAATGTTGATCAGCAAGTGCTTTGATCTCCATAGCCAGACATCGGGTGCAGAGTTCAGAACTATAAATTTGTTGCACTTACTATCAGTAAAAGTAGGGCTCTGATGGTCATCTTTTCTCAAACCACAGTTCATCTTGCTACATCTTCAGAGTGTAAAATAGGTGTGGTTCAGAACAGAGTCAAACAAATATCAGTGGTTCAGAAATGATATCCTTTCCTCAGTAGCAATATACATCGTGGGTATGTGACTGGAATATTTAAAACACCTGTTCACTTGGAACCAAGCCAAATGTATAATGCGTTAGTATGTGCTTGGCTCATTTCCAAGAGCATGTATCCTTACTGCCATCAAAACACTGAAGGGAGCTAGGGCAAAGATACAAGTTAGAAGCGATGTAAGATAGATATATTTTATTGTTAACAATATCATCATACTAGACACTGTTGGCTGGCTAGTATTTTAATAAAATCAATTATTTGTTTTTGATCAGAGAAGAACTGGCAGTGTAGGGACACTCTTATCTTCGCTTTGCTAATTGCTTTCACTGCTTTAAAATCTTAATCAACTTCCCCCTCCCCCCTCCCTCTTTCTCCCAAGCCCTCCCTTTCATTGTCTAACTGGGCTCTTCCCTGGATACATAGTAGTTCAAAGGGAACACCAGGGAATAAATTATATCCTAACTATATACCAGAGTTCACCAGCAGAACTTGGGCAAGCTCCTCTGACAGGGTTCCACCAATTTTTATCAATTCTGTTTTGACTTTACTTAATAGAGTCCAAATTTTTACCTCTCTCTACCTTTTCTGTAGCTTTAAAATCTGTATAGTCAAAATTTTACCTCTAAAGAATTTCATAACCTCATTACGCAAGATACAGTTACACATATATGTAACAATTTATAAAATGTGACATTTTGTTTGAATATGATCACAAAAAACCCCAAAGATTTCAATGTCCAAGGTGTGTATGTATGTATGTGTGTGAGAAAGAGTAAAAAATGAAAATTTTGCCTAAATTTACGCCTGTAGGAAGGAGAAGCAGGGAAATAACATGTTTATGAGCACATGTGCCCAACATATGCTAGTGGATATATACGTACGTGGTGTAAGTTACGTACGTGGTGTAAGTTAATTCTTACAAAAAGACCAAAAGTGAGATTTATTATCACTATTTTACTGCTTAGAAAGCGGAGATTTTGTGGAGGTTTAGAAACTTGCCCCAAAGCACGGAGTTTATGAAGATTGTAGAAAGCAGGCTTGGCAGAGTCTAAAACTTGTCTGCCCCTTTTCTTATACCAGACTGTCTTACAGTGAAAAGCCTGGACTTTTAGATTATAAACCTGAAAGTGTGAGGGTAGGGATTTTATAATTTGAAGTACTGTATCCAGAATCCTGACCATTTATGTGGTCATTGAAAACACACAGACTTCATTAGGAACTTCTAAATTTATAGATTTGCTTTCTTCTTCAACTTAATCTAGAGAATGTTATATAGTTTATTATATATACCTCCCGAGGTCTCCATAATTTCTTCCTTTAACACACTATATATGACAAATAGTCCTTAGCCAGAAAAATGCATGTGCATATTATCAGAGCAAAGTGAAATTGTATGCATATATTTTTTTAACTTTTTAAAGTTTATTTAGTGTGTGTGTGTGTGAGAGAGGGAGAGAGAGCGAGCGAGCGAGCAGGGGGAGGGGCAGAGAGACAGGAGAGAGAGAGAAACCCAAGCAGGCTCCGCCTGTCACTGCAGAGCCCCATGTGGGGCTCCATCTCATGAACTGTGAAATCATGACCTGAGCCGAAGTCAAAAGTGGAGTGCTTAACTGACTGAGCCATCCAGATGCCCCTGTATGCAATATTCCAAAAACAAATAGTTTTTTTAATATAATCCTAGATGTTTACAGAATGATATAAATAGTTTAAAAATATAATGAAAGGTTTTAGGCTTTTTAGCATGCACACATATACATGTTACTTATAAAAATTAAATATCCTGGCATTTCCACTTTTTACAACTAAATTGCTTCTATCTAGAGAGTTATATTTTCCACTAGAATTTTTCTCAAGAATTGACTGTCATTCGCTATTCTACTGCTTGAGGCCATGAAGTATCTTTCTCATACCTATTGTATTGCATCTAATTCTACACCAAACATTTAAGCACTTGATTTGTCTGTCTCCCTTCTCTCCATTTACTTTGCCATCTTTGTTAAAGCTCCTTCTGTATGTGAATATTCTATTCATATCATGCCCTTGCTCATTTCTTCTTGTCGATCTTTGCATAATTGGTCTTTTGAAAGATTTGCCCACATCCTGTTCATCAATTTATATCCATATTTCTGAACTTCATTTGTATGAAACTAAAAATGACTACTCAACATTCACCTCTCCTGAAAAACAAATATGTATTATTTTTTATGTAAAGTTTCTTTATTTATTTTTGAGAGAGAGGCAGAAAGACAAGGAGAGAGAGAATCCTAAGCAGGTTCTGCACTGTTAGCATGGAGCCCAATGTGGCACTTGAACTCACTAACTGTGAGATCATGGCCTGAGCCTGAATCAAGAGTTGGACTATGAACCAACTGAGTCATCCAGGCACTGCCCCTTGACTTTTTTTTTTTTTTTTTACTATTTTTTAAAGTTTATTTTGAGAAAGAGAGAGACAGAGACAGAGACAGAGAGACAGAGAGACAGCATGCACATGAGCCTGGAAGGGACAAAGAGTGAGAGAGGGAGAGAGAGGATCCCAAGCAGGCTCCATCCTGTCAGCATAGAGCCCACCATTGGGCTCAACCTCACAAACAAACCATGAGATGATGACCTAAGCTGAAACCAAGAGTCAGGCACTTAACCGACTGAGCCACCCAGATGCCCCACTCCTGACTTTTTAAATTCTGCCTCCTAGAGGTTATTATTTGATTACAAGTATCAGGGTATCATCATCATCATCATCATCACCAACAACCTTACTATGCACCAGACCCTGTTCCAAGCATTTTATAAATGTTCAATAATTTAATTCTCATGATAACTAGATACTAGGTGCTATTATTAACCCCATTTACAAATGACAATGTAAGAAACAGACAGCCTAAGTAACTTGTCTGGAAACATACAACCAATAAGCAGGGGAGATGGGATAAAAACTCATGCATCTTGCTCCAGAATGATGTTCTAACTATGCAATGCTATCCCTCAAATATCTTACAGTACCTCTTATGTTGTTTTGTCCTTTTGATGCACGTGTATATTTTCTATCTTACCTAGACTGTTAAGTTTTGTGATGTCACTGATGGTATTTTTCAAAATTCTATTTCCTCTAGCATCATTATAAAGTTCTGTACATCCTAGAAATCTAATAATTATTGCTAGAATAAAACTATCCATAGACAAAAGTGGAAGTAAATTTGTAAAATATACATATTGGCAGGTCATTTTTGAATTTGAAGGTAAAAATGGAATTAAAATCTTACATGCTTTAATTAAAAATTCACAAAATAAATCTAATGTCATTTGTTACTGTTAATGAAATGGCCATATTCATTTCTCTGTTACTGCATTTAATAGTTTTTAGCTGTCATTATAAGCATTTGATATTATTTGAAAAAAAATATACCTTCTCTTGTTTAAACCAACCTGCTTGCCTTATTTTAGCTTCTATTATAGATAAATAATACTGTAAACATTTCAAACCCCCAATGATTAGGAGGTAGTCAAATCAATATTAGCTACATAATACATAAAGGATGGATGCAAATTTTATAGAAAAGAAATTAATTATTAATTTATATCTGTTTACTGTAACAAAAATTCATTGTCAGCTTTTTCTGATGTTTAACAATGCTTGAGCCAAAATCAATGAATTGTATGAAAATATCCATTTGATGTTAAAAATGCTGTTAAAACAATTATGTAATGTTTATGAATGCTATATAATCTGTTATATGTAGTGATCCATGCACTATTCTTTGTACAAGGTGGTCTAGCATAATAATTATTACATCTCATATCACTATTTTATCTAGCAATATTAAAATTATTTTTTAGCAATGAAAAATAGCAAATATTTTCCATATTACAAAGGTTTTGCTGAAGAATCAGAAATGACTATATCAGAGGTAATTATTTCCAAAACTGAATTTATCCTGCATAGCACAAATGACTCAACAATGAAAATTTTGTTCAAAAAGTGTGCATGTAAAAGGCTTTGTCCCTGGAATGTAGCTCTAAGTGGTTCACTATCTAGGTTGAAAATGTCTATGCAGGATTGTATGTCCTATTTTTCCATGCCTGCAGTAAAGATACAATATGGGAATTCAGCTTGGTAATTACTAATACACCACACAGACACAATTACACCCTGTATGCTGCATGAAGGAATCACTTGTGGTCTGCATCTATTACAAAGAGCAGTAGGGGGCCACCATGCAAGACGACAAAATGCTTTACAAGACGGAAGGAGACCAGAAGAGTCGATGTACACAGATACAAGGACCTTGATTCTTCTAGCAATGATTTAAGGCTCTTTCCATCAATTATAGTCCTTTGTCTCAAGAGTCTTATCACCAGCATCATTACAGGAACTGAACATAACAATGCTCAGTCCCGTATAACCCCGTGAACTGCGCTGACATTTCCACACCCTGTTGCTATGTTTGACCTGATTATTCAGATTACTTAAGCAAAACAAAATTGAAAAAAAAAAGGAGTTACTATTGTGAAACTGGTCTTTTTTTTTGTGATTTACTCAAAATTCCCTTTC